AGGACGGGCAGGCCATTAAAGCCATGCTCCCCTCCCCGCCCCCCAGCCCCCTTCTGCAGAACAGGGCGGGAAGGAAAGAAAGGCGGCCGTTTCTTCAAGAGTGAAATCTGTCTTCTAATGTGAGTCAGTGGTTCTCGCGTCTCTTGTTGAGCCTGGCGTCTTAATCCCGTTGGCCGGCTTTCCTTGGAAATCTATTTGTTTTTGATTGCCTGGGCCAGCATGAATATGTAACGTGGGGCATGGAGACTCGGAGGGAGCGTTCTCCGAAGTGACAACACAGTGTTCAACTCAAGGCAGTTTCCCTTTGGAGCTGCTAACAGGAAGGGGGGCACCGCCCCGCTGCTGGACGGCAGAACGCGGTGCACGTTATTTGTGTCTCTCTGTTCGCCACTGTCAGCTGCTTGCCTCCTGTGGGTCCTTCGTTCGTGTGGTGTAGCTAAGTGAGATCAAGGGTCCCAGGGCTGGATGTCTTTTATGTAGTGGGATCAAGACTTTATTATCCTGAACTCAAAAATTAAGTTCATCTCAGTGACTGTGCAGATGTGCCACTTTAGGGACTCTCTGGAAGAATGTTTGAGCCCCCGGGGAGTCTCGGTGGCTCGGTCGGTTAAGTGCCTGACTCTTGATTTCAGATCAGCTCGTGATCTCAGGGTGAGTGGGATTGAGCCCCACGTTGGGCTCTGTGCTCACAGCCTGGGATTTACTTGGGATTCTCTCTCTCCTTCTGCCCCTCTCCCCTTTGCATTCTCTCAAAAGAAATAAATAAACATTGAAAATTTTAAGTGTTTTTTTTTTAAAAAAGGATGTTTGAGACCTTTTGTACAACTTAATGGGTAAAAAACAAAGTCTTCACGGATGCTTCCATCAAAATTTAAGAGGGTCTACCAGAAGAAGGTAGATTAGGGGCACCTGGGGGCTCAGTCAGTAAAGCATCTGACATCAGCTCAGGTCATGATCTCCTGGTTTGTGAGTTCGAGCCCCCTCGTCTGGCTCTGTGCTGACAGCTCAGAGCCTGGAGCCTGCTTCAGATTCTGTGTCTCGCTCTCTCTCTCTGCCCCTTCCCCACTCGCGCACTCTCTCTCTCTCTCAAAAATAAGCATTAAAAAAAACGTAGGTAGATTAAAAAATATACACCTGAGCTGCAAGAATGAACACATGCTGACTGCAACCGTACCTTGGAGCAGATCGTAATTTGCTGCTGATGCACTGAGCATTTTTGTTTTACAGATGGGAGCAGAGTAGGCCCGAGACCGTACCCGTAACCATAACTCTGATGCTTTTCTTTATTGTTAAAGCTCCCATCATTTAGAATAATAACGCTGCATATTTGCATGGCGGGGTTTCCCCTGCCCGGCATGCCTCTTTCACAGCACTCTCCCCTGTGATTCTCACATTCGCCCTAAGGTGTTGGCGGGGAAGGCGCTGCTATTACGATGCAGTTAACATACAGAAACCGAGCAGCAACACTAGGGAAGGAAGTGGTCGGGTCAGCCAACAGTTCAGACAATGGCACGAACAGCCCCTCACCGAGGTGGCGCTATGGGGCGCAGGGCGGGGAGACTGCCCTTGGGGGCTGCCGTTTATCGGGCAAGGGAACTCTGGTGCGCCTGGCTCGCCTGGCCGTGGGCAGGTGCAGGCCTTGGCTTCCGGGCGGAAATCAGTAGGCTGGGCCCGGGCTCCCGCCTGAAGAGCTGTCTGAAGTGGCAAGGCTGATGGTGTGCTCCTGGCCGCACGTCCTGCCGTCCACGGATGCGCCGGGTCTGGGCTCCAGCACCCCGCGCGTCCTCTGCGGTGTGCCCCAGGGTCTGCATCTTGGCGTGATCTCCTGGTGATTACATGGCCCCGGAGTTTGAGAAGCCTTGCCCTTGAAGCACTGGAAACGTGGAGAGTTCAGGCTGGGACGGAGGCCTGGCACAGCCTGCCTTTTCTAACGTCATTCTGCTCGGATCCCAGGAAAACGGACACCTTTCCAGCACGTCTAACATACCGAAACCTAGTTTGCCCAGTGTGTTTCTGGAACTCCCTATGACCCTGACCTCACATTTACGGGGGTGGGAATACACTGTGAAGACAATCCACGGGCTTACTGTTTCAGTCTGGTTGTTTGTTTAGTAAAAGCCAAGCCAGGAACCATAACATCGGTGGTGTCTCTCTGTCCCTACTTCTGGAACGTACTCCCTCCGTGAGGGAAGCGTGGCTGGGATGTACCTGGGCGCTCAGCGCTATCTGTGGGAGCGGAAAAGGCCGCTGCTCCTCTGCATATCCAGACTTGGCAGGTTTATTCATTAAATGCAATTATTCTTTTTATCGCGGCCGGCAGTCATTATATTTCGGCAATTTAGTATGCCAGAATTTGATTCATTTATCAAATATTTATTTAAGAGAATTTTCACTGTACGGTCAGGCTTTACATGAATTAGCAGGAAAGTAATTCATTTGTGAGGCCCTCTTCCTCCATCAGGAATGTATTAACATGGGTCCCGGCGTATTCTGTTAAGTGTCTATCACAGAGTAACCTACCTTCACTTTAATTTCCACCTCATTACAAAAGGGGAGAGCCTGACTACTCTCACGCAAGCCTGACTTAGGGCTTGACGGGAGGGGTCCATTTCGCCGGATAATTTGAAAATTAAGGGACGCGTTAGGAAAAGCAGAGTTTGCTTAATTTCACAGGTCAAATTTTTTTTTTTTTTTTATCGAAGAGGAACGTTCACCGAAAATAAACCTCTTTTCTGGCTTTCCAGGGGTCTTACAAATAGAAGGCGTCACTTTGGAGGCTGCCCTGATACAGACGTAAAACTTACGACTGGGCGGAAGTCGGCACTTCCTCCCAAGCCAGCTACTTTGCTCTGTGGTTCTTCTGAATTCCCGCTTAATTTCTGATCATCGCCTATGGGTTTGGCCTCATTTGAGACTCACACAAGGCTAGGGCGCCTGGGTGGCTCAGTCGATTGAGACTCACACAAGCCTGGAATTTGCAAGCCGTCTTCCTACTTCCCTAAGCTGTCTGATAAAACCTACGTGACTCCCAAGCAAGCATTTCAAGTGTTTCCTTCTCCTCCTCTTGTGGAGTGTGGTGACCGATGGCTGGCTTTATGGCGACCCACCAACGCCAACCCCTGGACAGCAAGGACCCTGGGTTCCTATGTTTTCTGTTTAAACTCTTGGGGACCGCTCAAGGTGGCAAATTTATGGTGTTTGGCACGCCTTTCAGCCAAAGAGGAACGTTTCTCTTCAGTTCAAAGGACACCTCATGCACGCAGTGGAAGAGAACATGTGACCCATCAAGGCCGTCTGGTGCCATTAGAGGTGACTCCATAGTTGTGGTGGGAAGGCTTGGGGCTGGCCGTCTGCCATGACTGAGCATAGGGAGGGGGCAGAACTATGTCCCCTCTCCCCAGTGTGAGAACATCTCGTGACCTTGGGCACAGCCATCGGACACTACAACGTCCTCACTTTTAGACACAGAATTCCACCTTCTCTGACACCTCCAAAGCCTCCAGCAGACAGAAGCTTCGACAAGAAGTTCTTTACCAATTGGAGATGGAAACTCGGGGCAATGGACCATTGTTGTTCTTGGGCTCACCTGCTGGTGGATAAGGCTGCCCGAGAATCAATCTGAACTCTGTGAAAGACTGTCTCCTGCAGCTTCTCTGTCACTCCCTCGTGTTTCTAAAAACCAAGCTCTGTGAGTTTGAATTTAAGAAATGCACATTTTGGGGCACCCCAGGAGGCTCAGCTGGTTAAGCAGCTGACTCCTGGATTTCAGCTCAAGTCAGGATCTCACAGTTCATGAGTTCAAGCCTCACGTCAGGCTCTGTCAGCACAGACCCTGCTTGGGATTCTCTCTCTCTCTCCGCCCCTCCCCTGTTCTCATGCTCTCTCAAAATAAAGAAACCTCAATAAGTAAATAAATAACAGTAGTTCTAGGAGGCATCTTTGTTAAAAAAAAAAAAAAAAAAAAGAAATGTAATTTTTACTCGTGGTTTCTCGGGGGAACCTCCGAGGAGTAGATTTCAGCAGGTCGATCTCTTTGGGTTTTGTTCCGTCTTGTGTGAAGGGTGAGCTCATCTGACAGGAGCCCCCTAACAGCACAGCGCCCGCTACTTGGCTTAGCGGTGGGACCTCGGGCCCCAGACAGAACTTTCCAGGCCGGGAACGCTCCCCCTGCATATAGGTCAGAATTGGTGCACGTTTCGAGGTGGCTGCAGAAAAACACCACTACGCTCGGGAGACGGGTTCCGAACACTCAGCCAAGAAAGGGCAGATGCCTCCTGCCACACCCCGCGGACCTTTCCGGGCCACCGAAGGAGGGACTACGCCAGGCCTTACCAGTGTGGCTTCTTTTGTGGACCATGAGCACATTGGGGCCGATGCAAATTATCCCACAGACATCACACTTTAGTTTGCCGTTAGGAAGTCGAATGCCTCCAGCTCCTGACAGAGCTCTGCTGCCTTGGCCACTGTGGGGGCCATTCATTTTCTCTCCCGCGGCATCAAGCACTCGTAAATCCTCCGCACATTCTTCCCCATTCACTTCACAGGCCCGCCCATTCTCTTCATCACTCTGAGCCTCTACTTTAACATTACCGGCTGAAAGAAACAATACAGGGGCCACTCAGTGTCATCGCAAAAACAAAACAAGACAAAAACAACACAGCAGCAAAAAAGACACCACTTGCAAGCGGAGAAGGTTCTTGAAGGTCCTCGGCAGCCTGGACCCCGGGGACAGCCCAGGGCTGGGGTCACGTCCGGCTCGCCTGGGGCTCTGGGGGAACCCACTGGGCCCATGGGTGGGTGGGGAGGGGGGAGAACCTGTCACAGTCACGTGATACGCCTCCCGGGTTGGGCAGGCCAGGGATGGGGGTAGGGCGAAGCGGTCACGTGATGCGTCTCCCGCGTGGGGTGGGGAGGGGCGGGGAAGAGCTGGCCACGTGATATGGCGCCCGCTGGGGGCCGGCAGAGAACCAGTCACGCGACATACCTCCGGGGGCGGGGGAGGGGGGCTGGGGCAGACTGGCCACGTGATATGCCTCCAGTGCTGGGGGGAGGGGCGCTGGTCATGTGACATGCCTCCTGTGCTGGGTGGGCGGGTAAGAACTGGTCATGTGATGTGCCTCTGGGGCTGGGCAAAGTCCCTCCTAAATGGTTATCAAGCCTGAGACCCTCGTTCTACTTAACGACGCCATCTTTCCGTGTTTCTCGTGTTCATAAACTCTGGGACAAGGCTCAGTAAACCCACGCTATTTCTGGCCACGGAGGCCCAAAGGAGTTCTCAACCGGTTTTCTTTCTCTGGCACGTGATCGTTCTAACTCCTTAGGGTTCTTAATAATAAAACCTGTGCCCTAGAGTAGCGCCACCGTGTGGCACGTGTCTCCGGGTGGCTGAAGGGTCAAGTCGTTTGTAAAAGTGGCAGATCTCATTGGCCTTTCAAAGGGAGCGCCCTGCCTGAGGGTGAAGGGCTCATATTAACCAACGCCCTGACCGCTGTTTACTCTGTAGTAGTGATCCCTCTAAGTCACATTTAGGGTGGTGATTTCTGTCATTCACACGTTCTTCTTGGTAAAGAAAATCAGAGGCATCTCGTTTGTCATCTTGGGAAACACAGCGTGATGATGAAGGCTGTTGATGGTAAGTCCATCACCATAATCAGTGGGAGAAACCGCAGTGACCCTGAAAGCTAGCGTCTCCATCATGGTCTCTATAGGTTAATAAGAGCAGGTAGGTCAATTCGGCCAAGTACAAGAAACAATGGCATAGATAGATGGTAGTCAGTACTATGAAATCTTTGATCGATGTTCAGAATCACTGGGTCTTCAGGCGTGGTCCTTGGACCATCAGCATCAGCGAGAACTTGTCAGAAGAGCAAATTCTCTGGTCCACCCTGCAGAGCCTGATGCAGGGTTCATGAGTTCATGACCTGAGCTGAAACCAAGAGTTGGATGCTTAACTGACTGAGCCACCCAGGTGCCCCTAACCTGGGATTGTTTTTAATCACCCAACTGGTGGTTTTTTTTTTTTTTGTTTTGTTTTTTGTTTTTTTTTTTAAATGAGATTGGGGCATTCCAGAGCTTGGTGGAGCAAATTATTGTCGCTGGGCAAGTTCTCTCGCCACTGGCGCTGAGACACAAGGGTGGCGGTCTGGGCACCCGTGGCTGGAAGGAGGAAACCACAGGATGGAGAAGCATGGGGATAACCCCCTTAGCACTCGGCTCTGTCTCACACAGTCTGAGGCAACCTCTTAGACAGCAATGACCTTTGCTTTCCCAAAAGTACAGTTGCCAGGAACCACGACTTATTTTACGTTGTTAAGACAGACAGGTATTTCTGTGACCGTCGGGTGTGCTCCGTGGCTTGTGCTGTTGATGACGGGGTGGGCCCTTCCTGGTGAGGAACAAGAGAACGGGAAAGCCTCAGGGTGACCTTCAGGGTGACATCGGCCACAGCATGCCACTTGCAGCCAAGGCAAAGCCGGACCAGGAAGGAAGAAGATGAGGATGGCACGGCGGGGGATGGGCGGGGAGCATAGCATGGATGTCACCTTAAATGCCACAGAGGCCCTCAAGCCAGCCTGGATACCAGGCACTAACCTTTCTCATTCCCGTTACGCCATGCGACGTTTCCTCTAAGAAATGTCACAGAACCAAAAGAGCCAGGAGGCTCAGATGGCACGAGCGCCTGTTATAAACCATCCTGAGATTCTGCGGACCCCAGGTATGGTTTTCGGTAGATCTGGGCAGCACCGGTCGAGGCCGAGCTCAAAGACTAGATAGAATTCAGGATCCTGTGATGCTGCAGGCTGCTGGAGAAAAGATCGCGGACAATACCCTCGATCCCTGGTGGCGAGCTCAAGCAGCCACGAGGGATGGGAACTTGACAGGGTTCCGTGTAAGCAGACAGGGTACGCGATTCCGAGTAGGAGTCGAGCGGAAGATGCAGAGTGTTTTAGGGCTGGAAGCTTGCCAGAACTTTGCGGCCACATTCTAGGCTGCATTAGGACAGGAAAAATCCGTAGGGACAGAGAGAAAAGATGCCTGATGGGGGAGGGGCCGGGGGCACAGGTGAGAACACAGACCGCAGGTGGATATCACCATCGGCCAAGGGCAGGTCAGAGTCACGCACAGGTGAACGTTCCCTAAATATGGGCGAGAAGTTTTCCTGTCTTTCTGGACAGATGCAGACTGTGTGCTGGCCGCACAGAAGAGACGGACGGACCTCTGTTCACCCGCGGAGGGTGTCCACGAAACAGGGCCTCCTTTCTGGCTGGGAGGAGGACACAGGCAACACGCCTATTACACTCAAGGGGTCAGGGCATAAACCTGTCGTAATAAGTCGCGAACACACCGATCTCAAAATTGTGATCTATTAGACATAAATGCACAGTCCCGTTAAAATAGACCTTTAAAAAAACACAAACGCAGGATGGGGCTGTTGGCTTCACTTATCTAAGTGTGAAAGAGGGGTTTTGGTGTTTTGGCTCAATTAGTGATGTGGCCGGAAAAAGGAAAAAACAGAAGATGCTGCCTTGGGGTCCTGCACGCGGTGAAATCCGGAGTCCCCTGCCCTGGCCAGGCTGTAAGCCTCCACTGCACGGTCTGACTAAAAAGGGCAGGCATGGTCTGCAGTGGTCAGAAGGAAGGAAGTCAGCGGGGGCTGAGCACACTTGGGGCGTCCATGGGGCTGGACAAGCTCGGCTCAGGGAAACGCGGGGCTGGGAGGCTGAGGCTGAACAGAGAGCAGGGGGGCCTGGGTGGCCCTGGCACCACACGGCCCAGAGGTGGTGCCCAGGCAGCAGGTTCCTTCTGCAGGTGGGCTGGGGGAGGGGGCACCTGCGTGGACAACCTCTGGGTGCATGCGCACAGGAAGACCTGGGACGTCTGTGTGAGTGTTGCGTTTGTGAGCCCGCCATTTTGAATTCCACAACCCTGCAGAAGTCAATGGCACCAGTAATTGTTTCCCCTGATGAAGCATTGACAGATGAATGGCCTTTATTTAAGCATGACAGATGAATGGCCTTTATTTAAGCTGTTCCAACTCTTGGCCTGGAGCCCACCCAAAGGGTATGCACGAGTCCTACTCCACTCCCTTGAGAAAAGTCAACTGGAACGGGAGAGTCTTCGTTTTCTTCATGATCTCCCTTGAAGGACACAGGTCGACTGGCCCAGTGAGTTCCCTGAAATAGTGGGTCTCCCCTAGTTTGTATTTCTTGTACTTTGCTCCACTGCATGGATGTTGTCTCTAAGCTAACCAGGGCTCCTGCTGACCGGTTGTCCCTACCCTGAATTCCTAGCCCATGCCTTCTGTTCCATTTTCTTGGAGCTGGAACTGCTCATATGCGCCCTTATGTCTACGAAACGCTACGGTCTCCCTCAACGTAGGGATTATGCTTACACGTATTTTGCAACTCCTTCCCCTACCACTCAGAAAAATGTCGAACTCAGTAAGGTACTGAACTGACCCGATTAAATATAGAACAAGAAGCGGACGTTCACGTGTTTCTTTGCCCCAGAACACGCTGGCTCAGGCCTAACCCTGAAGCTCTTTCATGGACTACGGACCGCTCATGGACAGGCGCTCCATTTTATTATTTAGTAAATGTGACATATATTAAGAGCTGATGTCTTCAAATCTCGAGTCAAGAGTTACCTTCTCAGATGCTGTTTTAAATTAGGAACACTTAAAATATTATAGTTATATATTCTAGGGGTCTCGTACGTTATTAGTAACACAGCAGTCCCAAGAGAGACCCCAGACCCCTAAAGTAAGGCGGACTTCAGCGTGGGGACAAGTTTAGCACCGAAGAATTCGGAGAAGCCAGGCAACTCAGGGTCAACGGAGCCCAGAGGCTCCATCCACTGCCAAGCACTGAACGTACTCATGAATGATTAAAGCATTTTAATGCATAGATATAACGTGCACTGGTGGCACCCCCCCTCCCCCGCCCCCCGACAAATGGGTTCTGTTTCCTCTTCGTTGCCTTTTCCCTTTTAGAAAGTGTCTTGGCATTTACCAGTAATGTAAAGGTTTGGTACTCAGAGTGTGCCTTTCCATTGTAAAGACACCCTGAAATTGTTCCTATGGTGTGAGTTTAGGCCACGTAAGCCTGGAGCCCTCAATATTTTAAATGGGGAAAAAAAATGGGAGAGAGAAATAGACCCGCAACCAGTGACTAGCAAGCCAAAATCAAACGGAATAAAAATATTCACGACAGATCTGGAATGAGTGCAATGATGCTAAAATTTGAGGGGCGTCTGGGTGGCTCAGTGGATTAAGTGTCTGACTCTTGGTTTCTGCTCAGGTCATGATCTCGGGGTTCATGGGTCTGAGCCCTGTATTGGGCTCTGTGCAGACAGCGTGGAGCCTGCTTGGGATTCTCTGCCTCCCTCTCTCTCTGCCTCTCTCTCTCACACACACACGCAATAAATAAATAAACATTTAAATGAAAATAAATAAATGAGTAGATAAATAAAATTTGAGATGAAGAGGAAATATATAGATGCTTCTGTGCTGCCTCGTAAAAAGTGATTTACAAAAACTTTTAAGCGTTTTTAAGCTAATAAAACCACTTATTATAACTTCCATCATTTAAAACATAAGGTTTTTTTTCTTGCCAAGATGCACGATTATATCCTTTTAGGCCTTTAAATGAAGTCAGGGAGAGAGAAAAGAGAAAGAGTCTGAAAAAAGCATGAGTTACAAGCAGACTTACATCCTCCTCGGGTGACTAGGAACACAACAAGCTGGGAAAGAGAAGGTAGAGGGGGGTCAAACAGGTTGTATTTATAATTTTCAAGATGGAAAAAAAAAGGAGGGGACGTGGGGTGAGGAGGGCAATCTCCATCCTGCCCACCAGGTGGCGGTGTTGGCCAAGAGCAGCTGGGCTGCTGTTTGGGTGGGGCCATCCTCCAGGACAACAGCCATCTGTGTGGAGGAGGAGGATATTTACAATTTGGGTACGTGGGAGGGGGTGTGGAAGAAAGAGACCAGAATACCTTGTGAATCCATTTGCGTAAACAGAGAGGCATATATATCAAAACATATATCATCTACCTTCTAAAATCTCCAAGTAGCATGGGTCTTTAAACAAGCCAGGTTTTACTTACAGAAGTCTTCACCAAAGGACCCGCTTCAACACTACAGCGTGCTTGCCCCTAAACCTTCCTCAGATTTCATGAAAACATTCTGAAAAACCAGAATGTATTTCCTTACTCTTAAGGGCATCTGACGGCTCAACATTGCAGCCATGTGACTGCTCCAATCCTATAATTGACAAGACTTCTCTGTGCTAGCACCTTCCTGTTTGATGTAATTGTATGAACACACACACCCTCATGCATATGCATGCATATAAAGACACATCCATACATATAGAGCTCGCAGAAGTCCATCTCTCAAGCTGTCGTTTTAAAGTTGAATCACAGGGAGATCATCAGTAGAAGAAAGAGCTCTATAACTTTTCTACACTGGAAAAGCAGTCAATTTCCAGTCCGGGTTGTGAGAACAGGGTATGGTTATGTGGCCAGTGCTAAATCCTTCAGGTATCAAAGAGTTTTGATTACCAGGATGTCAGAAACTTACCTTTAACGTTACTGACACCTTTCAGGTTGAGCCGGGATCACTAATTGTTGCAGTACTAACAAGCACGACCTGTTTTCTGACGTTGCTTTAAAACAGGAGAGAATTTACTAACGCACGTTCTCAAGGCTTCAGTCCTGAGGGGGGCAACCCGTCTGTGCTCCTTTCAATATTCGGCTCCCTGTGCCTTTTTAAAAGCACACCGCATTCCTTAAAATACTCCCTCGGCGATGCTGCCCTAATCCGTCTATCGTTCACGGACTCCTAACAGCTAAAAATGAAATTAACATCTGCTTTTGGTTTACCAGCTCAGATCAGGAAGGTTCTGCAGGCACAGACTCCTAACTGTGTCCGCTCAGGCAGTGAGGCACCGCAGACTAACGGCCTCAAAGCCCTGCCAGCATGCTCTTCTCGGTTCTGAAATGAATACTTCAGAGCCACGGAAGGAGAGCGCGCATCTTTCTCCGGTCTGACAAATTCGTAAAAGTTATCATGAAAACACGCTCGGCTGTTTCTTTTTTTTTTTTTTTTTTTATTTTTTTTTTCAACGTTTATTTATTTTTGGGACAGGGAGAGACAGAGCATGAACGGGGAAGGGTCAGAGAGAGAGGGAGACAGAGAATCGGAAACAGGCTCCAGGCTCTGAGCCATCAGCCCAGAGCCTGACGCGGGGCTCGAACTCATGGACCGCAAGATCGTGACCTGGCTGAAGTCGGACGCTTAACCGACTGCGCCACCCAGGCGCCCCGCTGGGCTGTTTCATGGGGACAGGGAGTCAGGCCATTTTATCATCACACTCAATAAAAAGGAGATACTCATCACATGAATGGCAACGCTGTTTACCAGCATGACTGGAGTAACAATTCAATCAGTACTATTGTTCCTTCTACCCTTACTGTCACTGCCACAACAAGAGGAACGTCCCATAGTGTATCTTCCAATGGTCTTAAACGCTCCATATGCACGTCCTTGTATCGGTGATGTCCCAGGCGGTTAATGAACAGGACGGTCAAGATGTAGCTCATTGGGTCAAGCATGAAGGAAGGTGGTGTGGACACATGCATTCACAACATTTACGCCATGGAAATGGAGGATGAGGTGAACACGCGTTTGTTTTCTAGAAGCGAAGCATATACTTACGAGAGAAAGATTTGGGAATGAGTGCATGAAAATCCCTAAAGCCATCGGCCCCATATGTAACTGCAATAAAGAAGGAGAAAGAAAGCTGGCTTTTGACAGTGTTCACAAGATACAGTCAGAGTTTCAAAGAAAGGGTCATTTTATTTCTTTTAAAAGAAAGCATGCTTGCTCGTAACCCACAGTTGGCTACTCGTCTGCCACTCTCAGCCTTCATACAGGCCACTCAATGGTAACACGGTGCTGCTCGGAGGCAGGACCACAGCGCATGGCATGTTATCACCTAACCTCTGCTGCGCCAAACATCTTAGGGGCAGTAACGTAAGCGGTGTGCTTCTTAGCGGGCTGAGCGCATGGCAGATTTTCTTCATTCGGCTTTCAACATTTTCTTAGAAAGTGTTCGTAGAAACTCAGCAATGTTCACACCGCACCCTGAGTGGGGAAAAATTAGTGTTTTCCCCCACCTCAGAACGAGCTATCAATTTCTGTGGGTATTCCTTATCAGCCGCTCTCATAAATGTTATCAGCACCTCAGATCTTCAAGTCCTTGCTCTGTGTTTGTAGGTCAGAACTTCCCGACATGTGTCTATGTCTGAAGGCTTAGCAGCTGCCACCCACGCGCACCCATGGAGGCACGCGTGGAGACACGTGTGTGCGCGCACACACGCACACGGAGTTTTCTCTCCAAGGGGAGCATCCCGACGTCTGTCAGCGTGGCAAGTGCAGCCTAGCTGCTAAATTAAACTTGTTGGAGCAGCCACCGAATTAGCAGAGGCAAGACGATGGTGTCCCCACAGGAAACGGACCTCCCGGACGTTGCTGGAACGCGTTTCAGCTTCCACACTCCTCTGACTACAGACCCTCTCCGTGCTTCCCGTGAAATATTGACTAAAATACTGGGATAATGGGCAAGCATCATTGGAGAGAGACTCTCAAAGGTGCTCCTTGAAGTGACCACCTTAATCATTTCCTAGCAAACCCTCAGCCTCATTTACACTGTCCCTTGACGGTCTAAACCTCACAGAGACCGTCACTGTCACATGGCCCGCGTGGAACAGGCAGGTCAGCGGTGGCTTGCCCGGGCGCACGTGTGCTCGGTGTCCACAGCCAGCCAGCAAAATGAGGCCGATTTTTCAGCGGGCTCTGCACTGAGCTTCGACTCCCTGGGTCACCTTTTCCAATCTCTGGCTCTCTGTGCGCAGGGGTACAACCATCTCAGGTAATGGGGGTATTTAAAGGGCAACGTATTGCCTTTTGAAAATGGGGGCATCACCATACGTGATAGAAGACAGATGAAAAGGCATCACGGCCACACGCCCCGAGATATTGCTCAGATTGCTGCTTTGGGGCCTCAGCGTGACGCGACTGGGAGGTCAGTTTCCCCGGGTGTCCTCTTAGGACACAGCTTGTCTGCATCATGATGCGACCACAATTCAGACAAGCTTTATAATGTCTGTCCTTCATATTTGAGTCCCTAAAATGGACACCAAGTTTAAAAAACAGAACACGGCTGTAGCTACAGAGTTACTCTACTCACCCCCCTAGGAAAGCTGAGCCGATAGGAGTTCGCGCTCACTCACGCACCACACGCGTTTGTGCACAACCGACTTCTCAGTTCAGAAGGACGTGGCCTCCTTATGGACGGTAATCACGCACAACAGGAGAATGTGACACTCACCTTGTCCTGTCCTGTCCAGCCTGGTCCTGTCCTATCTGGTCCTATCCTGTCCTGTCCAGTTTTGTCCACTTTTGTCCTGTCCAGTCTGGTCCTATCCTATCTGGTCCTATCCTGTCCTGTTCTGTCCAGTCTGGTCCTGTCTTGTTCTGTCTGGTCCTGTCCTGACTGGTGCTGCCTGGTCCAGTCTTGTCCAGTCCAGTTCCGTCCTATGTCTGTCCTGTCAGGTCCTACCCTATTCTATTTCAGTCTACTTTCATGGAAGGCATTCACTGGGGGTTTTGTAAATGCCAGGTACTTGCAAAGAACTTTCCATAAACTGCCTTTTATCTTCACCACCGTCCTACGTGGCAGGAACTATCACTAGTTTATCAGAGAGGAGACTGGGGCTCTGCAGAAGTTCTGGAACCTGTCCTCCTGGAGGTTAGCATGTGAATGTGCGAATCTGAGACTGTATCTAATGAATGCATTACAGCCAGTATTCCAAACACACATTCTCCCTGTGCAGGAAGGGCCTTTGAGAAGCTGTGTTTTCTCTTCCATGGTGCTTGAGAGGCATCAGGAAGGGTGTTACCACAGCTGCACATGCACGTTCACACTTAGGTGTGCACGCACACACACACACACTCACCTGCCCATGGGAGTCACAGTGCATTGATCAATAGTCCCCCGCAAGATGAAATGAATTAACAACGAGCGATTTGGAAAGCGCGGCCCCCCTGGCACTGCCCTCCATGTGGCTTCCCCACCCCAGCTCATCCGGGCCCCGTCACGGTGTCTCATGAGTCCCTCTCCTCCCCTGAGCAAGCTGGTCCAGGGGTCATGCAATCAGATGGCGCTCATGTCTTCGGTGGGCACTCAGATGGGCCACAAAACCCTTCTTCTCACTCATGCGGGCAGATGTCTTACAGGTGCAGACCCTGTCCTGTCCCTTATCTCAGTGCTGCTCGTAAGCCTAACACTCGTGGCAAAGCAGACCTTCTCGATGGTGCTAGAAGCCCGTGGGAACCGGGAAGTGATTATCTCCCGATGGGCTTTCAGGCCCGTCTTCGGTTCCTTAGTAAATTCCACCCCAAACTTTAGGCCGTTGTTTTACAAACGGGTACAGATTAAAAAAAAAAAAGAAAAAAAGACTCAATGTATCTTAAATTTTCTGAATGTCACAAAACACATTTTTCTTGTCAAGAACAAACTGAGTTCATTTGGTTAGGAGTTTTCAATTTGCCACATTGTCACTAATATTTTCAAAGAAAACGCTGTGGGTGCCTCAGATTCTGAATTCTATTCGGATTGCCAAATTGACGAACGTCCTGGAAAAACAGATTAAATGCCCACAAACCACACTTTTCAGTTTGCGTTGGGTCGTGCCCGTAAACTTCTCATGATGTTGTCAGTTCAGGGAGACATTAAGACAGACCTGAGATCTTCAAAACAGGAGGAGGAAGTCGGCTCTACTTTCTAGCCAAAGGACACTGACAATTTTCTGGGGAGAGTAAACACGTTTAGATTTGTATTTAGAATTCAGAAATACGCCGGAGTCTGACTTTTATACGTATTCTTCCAATCACGTTAGCCTGTTGGGCACGGTCGGATCATTAGTGTGCTATTCACTGGTGTCAGTGTGGTTTGCAGTGACCTTTGCAAGGCTTACACATCTAGCGTTTCCTGTCCCTGCGCCAGCCAGAGGGTCCCCGATTGGGACGGTAAAGAGAGGCAAAGGGCAGGACCGGGTGACCATCACTGGAGCGGCAAACAGCATGGCCGTGCTCCCTCTAGAGAACTAGTTAACCTGAACAGGTACCAAATCTTGATTCTCTTGAAATTTGTCCATACCTACGCATTCCCAGGATGGATATTTGTTTCTTAGCCCTCCAGGTTCTACCAGGGGAGGAGAGAGTGCCAGCTGATGTCTCCTGACTGCTCCAGCCTTACGGAAGAGGGGGCTGAACTGCAGACAAGCTTAAAGTCTGACCCACGGATGGAGAGCCGGGGGCGGGCGCTGGTGTGAGGTCAAACCACCTTCTTTCCAGGCTTTGAGGGCGCTGGGGCTCAGGTGATGGGTGTCTCACTCAGCCAGGTCCCCTGCATGGCCCCAGCCATATGCCATGCACCAACGGGCACACAAAATGTTTGTAAAAGAAGGCAGCAGGCATGCACCAGGCCCTCCCGGCTGTGGGAACTCACCTGGGCTCTGTCACCGCCCGGCTACCCAAATCCAAACTCAAGGTCTTTCTCCAGACCCAGCTAGCCTCCTTCCATCCCGCCTGTGCCCACGGCGCTCGGTTCTGGATTCCCCAAGTTCTAACGCATGTGGGGGTCTCACCTCCACCCTGACCTTCCCACCCACTTCTCCCGAGCTTCTGCAGGCTTTTCTCTTCCTGCTTTCCAGTCACGTCCCTTCCCAGCACCGCCACCCAGCCAAGGCTGCCTCAGCCTTTGCCACATCCTGCCAGCACTTCCTGTCACTGCCTGGCACGGAGGTGGGTATACATCCTGTGGTCCTTGCCTTTGGGCCCCTCTTCTGGTCGATCTTGCCCGCTGCCCTGAGACGGTCATGCTAAAGCCTGCCTTCCTCCGCTCATGTCCACGCCCCAAACTTCCACTGGTCTGCACCGGTACTGTGAGGCCGAGATCCCGAGTCCTGGGTCTAGGTCCCTCCAGGACCGGTCAGCAGTGACAGTGACTCTCCCAGCCGATCATCCCATTCAGATCATCAAAGGCACGCACCTGACGGAAACACGCAAGGAAAATCAAACCCGCTTCATTTGCAGATACCTTCACTCAACTGTGAGTATAATTACCTCCTAACTAAAGAGGGAGACGCAGAATCCGAAGCAGGCTCCGGGCTCCGAGCTGTCAGCACAGAGCCCGACGCGGGGCTCGAACCCATGAACTGCGAGCCCGTGACCCGAGCCGCCCAGGCGCCCCCTGAGCCCAACTTCTGTGCTCAGATTAAGAGGCGACAAGTATTTTCTTCCCTTCCTCCTGCGCCTCGCCTACAGTGTTCAAGGTACTCATCACGGGACTGCTGAGTCAACAGACTTTACTACTACTTTCTGAAGACAGCCATCTGATCACGTAAACGTTTTCAGAAGTTCACGCACCTCCAGGGAGAAGCTGCCAAGTATGTGGCAGAAAGCACTGTGTTTCCTGGGTCGGTTGTGCGTGAGGCTCCCGGGGCACCCGGTGTATCGGGGAGCAAGCTAGGAACGGGGGAGACCGCTCTTGCCGGGGTTTGTTCCAGGCTGGACCCTCCTGCAGTTAACATAACCGAGCACGGGCGGACCAGCTTTCACTCTGGATGGGTCTCTGGGCTCCTGCTGTGTGCTGAGTCCTATCAACTCATGGGGAGGGGTGTGGCTCCTGGACAGTGGGGTGCAGGGGGCTTCAGGTCAGAGGTGTGACTGGCACTCGGCCCTGCCTCCCATCAGCTGTGCGGACCGAGCGCTCAACGCGACCAACTCCGAGCCTCGGTTTCTTCACCCGCCAAGTGGGAATAATTGTATCTATTCTGTCTGGTTCACGTGAAGATTCAGGCGCGTGGTGGGCCGTAGCTTTGTTTCTCGGAGGAAAGACATTGGCAGATAAAGAGAGACGCGTATCTCATCAACAAAAAGATTCGGGGCTTCTGGGATCAGCCATGGCCCACTGACAGGTGCCAATGCGGAAAACCAACGCTTTGTGGGACCTGCCGTGACCAGGACAGATGTCCTCAGGGAAACTGCTCTTGGCACCTTGGAATTTTGAGTCTACGCAGGCTTTTGTCCCAAATACTCCTGTTGGGTGCTCCCCTCTGTCTGGGAAAGACCCTGACCGTGTTTCAGGCAAACTGCCAGGTGGTGGGACAATTCTGGTTGTTTCTATTGGGACCTGACTGCGATGGGCTGAAGTCCACTTTGCTTTACTTCAAATTGCGGCTGTCAGACCTGCCTTCTGGAGCAGATGGCACACAGAGCTGACCACCGGAGGAAAAGCCAGCTTCCGACCCTCTCTCCCTGCACACGGCACAGCCGGGGACCTCTCCTACTGTGGTTGATGTTTTCTGAATATACTTGTAATGCCGCACAGTGAGCTAAGTAGGAGAGAAGAAAAGCTGACTCACAGACCTGTAGTTTAGAAAGGGGAAAACAGGAAGCAAAGACTTTCTTTCCGAAGGGTCCAAGGGAGAATATGGCAGGTTCAGGCACCACGATTCTGTTGATGGGATGCTCCGTCAGAGTCGCCGCTTTGGTGACCCCGCAGCCTCCCGTCACCCACCCTCTCGGACACAGTTCATCACAACCTGGGGATGAAACACTCACCAGACTCAAGGACAGTTGAGGGATAGTTATGTCCTCCTTGCTTTTTCATTTTTTTTTTAATGAAAAAGTAACTTTTTTTGGTAAAAATAAGATTTGCTTCTTCTTTTAAAAAAATTTTTTTTAATGTTTTTATTTATTTTTGAGACAGAGAGAGACAGAGCATGAGCAGGGGAGGGGCAGAGAGAGAGGGAGACACAGAATCCGAAACAGGCTCCAGGCTCTGAGCTGTCAGCACAGAGCCTGATGTGGGGCTCGAACTCATGAATCGTGAGATCATGACCCGAGCCAAAGTCAGACGCCCAACCGACTGAGCCACCCAGGCGCCCTGCTTCTTCTTTTTTAAATGTTTATATATTTTGAGAGAGAGAGAGAGAGCAAGCACACAAGGGAGGTGCAGAGAGAGAGAGAGAGAGAGAGAGAGAGAGAGAGAGAGAGTCTCAAGCAGGCTCCACGCTGTCAGCACAAAGCCTGACACAGGGCTCGAACTTACGCCCCTGAGATCATGACCTGAGCTGAAATCAAGAGTCGGACGCTCAACCGACTGAGCCCCCCAGGCGCCCCAAGATTTGCCTGTCCTGAAGACAGCAGGTATACACAAGGGTCAAGATGAAATTTTCTGAAATTCACCTCCAAGCCCTATAACAAATCTAGAGAAATCATGAAGGGGAGAACGTGGGGAGGTGGTGATAAGAACACAGTGCGAGAGTGTGACCCAGGCTTACAAAGGGAGAAAGAAAGGGTCACCTTGGGGCCCGGAAGAAGGGCTGAGGGAGGTAGGAGGAGGTGCACCAATACTGACACGCCAGGAGGGTCCCGCCACGAGCCAGGGGATGAGCGAGTGTGGGGCCCCGGGCAGAAGTGATGACACAAATGTCCTTTCCCCTCCCGAATCTCACAGGGAGGGATGTTTGTATCACACAGGCCAAAACAGGAAGGGAGGGACATTCTACAAAGCAGCCGTGCCAACGGGCGGTGGTGGCCACCCAGGTGTCTCCCTGGCCAGCGGATGCGTCCAGGTCCGGGCAAGGACAGGGACACCGGGCGCCCATCAGCCGTCCAGGCATGCGCTCCAGCGGGCCTGGCCGCACACGTGTTCACATGTGGTTTTCCCGCTGACACGGTCTTACTGAACCCTCGCTGCCAGGCGGGAGGAGAGTACGGCACCGAAACGAGGTTTTGCAGAGTAAAGCAAACGAGCGCCACTGATTGTCCCCAAGGGTGGTCGCTGCGGGGGGGGGCCTTGAATGCAGCAGGGAGACGGCAGGGGACACTGCTGCCTGCTGAGAAAGGGGGAAGGGCTGAGGAGGACAGAATCAGCACTGTCGCCTTCCTCCAGGAGCGGACACGGCCCCCCGCCCAGGCTCGGCAAACACTCTTGGCCATTCCCTCCCTTCCCCGCGGCTGGCACCCCGTGTCAAGCCCCAAAGATTCCAGGAGCCCGGGCTCTGCTTCAAGGAGGCCGCAGATAAAGTAATCTTCCCCGGGACACCCAGAGGGTGGGTCCCCTGCTGGCCCTCCCTTCCAGAAGCTCTGAGGGGTCCCCGCCAAAATTCCAAGCAGCAGGTGACTCAGCAAAGGCACACGAGGGTCGGGAAGAGCGGCTCGGGGGCTGGTGAGCCCCGGGGTGCGGGCGCCGGTCCCTACGGGCAGTGCTTGCGGGTTCCTCCTCGGGGGCGCCCGGCGGGCCAGCGTGCTGCAGGGGCAGCGAGGGATCTCATTCCTGCCTTTCCCCCTCCTTCCTGTCCTCCGCCCCCAAACACACTTCTCAGGCAGTGAGCCTGGGGCCGGGGGGGGGGGGCGTTGTGGGCAGGAAGTGCGAGACACCTTCACCACCTGCAGAGGAAGACGGGGGTCGAGGGTGGCCAGGGCTGAGGTGGGCAGGTGGGGCGGACGCATCTGGCCTGCGTGCCGGGGTGCACGTGTGTGTGCGCGCACGCGCCAATGGCACAAGGGTCACTCTTCTTGCACACACACTTACAAAGGCAGCTCGGAGACCCGAAGCTAGAGTGCCCGTCACCCACGGTGACTTTTACAGCCCATGCCGTGTTTGGGACCCACGAAGCTCCTGCTCCTTCCGTTTCTGGGCCAGCAAGCAAAGCACTCCCCTGGGGACCCGGGGGGGTGTGGCGGTCCAGACCTCTCATCTGGATGGGAAACTCACACAGAGGCGGTGGGAAGGCACAAGGCAAGTGATGTGGCTACTTTAAGCAATTTCGTAAGTAGCGTTAACTTACTGCGAAGGTCGAGATCCTTTGCAGGCTAGGATTATTTTTTTATTATTTAAAAAAATTTTTTAATGTTTATTTTTGAGAGAGAGAGAGAGAGAGAGAGAGAGAGAGAGAGGCAAAGCACGATCAAGGGAGAGGCAGAGAGAGGGAGACACAGAATCAGAAGCAGGCTCCAGGCTGCGAGCTGTTAGCACAGAGCCCGACGCGGGGCTTGAACTCACGAACCACAAGGCCATGACCTGAGCGGAAGTCGGCCGCTTAACTGACTGAGCCACTCAGGTGCCTTGAGGAGCGCCCTACTGTCTTTTTTTTTTTTTTAATTTGTTTTTAACGCTTATTTATTATTGAAAGACAGAGGGTCAGAGCGTGAGCCCGGGAGGGGCAGAGGGAGAGGGACACACAGATTCCGAAGCAGGATCCAGGCTCGGAGCTGTCAGCACAGAGCCCGACGCGGGGCTCGAACCCAGGAACTGTGAGATCATGACCTGAGCTGAAGTCGGACGCTTCATCGACAGAGCCCCCCAGGCGTCCCTCCTAAGGGATTCTTGAAAGCTCCCCCTTCCCTGCCCCCTTCTCCTTGATCTCTCTCTCTCCCCCATTATTTCCTAACTTTTAGCACTAGGCTCCGTGACCACTAAGCATACGGTGCTTTATCGGTGCTCACGAGGACGTCTGGGGATATTATCATCAGTGCTGGTCCCAGGGCTCGGGCTCTGACCACCCAGAGGGGAGGCGGAAGTAGGTTTGGGAAGGACCTGCCTGCACCCTCCTTCCCCCACCCCTGCCCCCAGAGGCGCCGGGGGCTTGAGAGACCATCACTGCCTCACCAAGTCTCAGTCCCCTCCCATCTGCCACCGGACTCAAAGGTCCCGTCCCGTCCCCACACACCGGGAGGGCGGAAGGGCAGCGAGCCACAGAGCAGAGATGCCGGAGGCCCCATGGTGTCCCTCTGGGATTCGCTCATTACTCAGTTCATTACACATTACTCCTGCTTCCCGGCACCTCGGCCCAAACTGCACAGGTCTTGGGAAGAACCTTCGAAGATCAGGCTGTCTTCCTGGTAGATGTCAGCTGCTTCTCAGGATTCGAGTGTCTCAGAAAGTCCTGGGCTTCACTTAAGCGAGTTTCTTTGAACCGAGAGGGGTTCCTCCCTTCCCCTCCGCTCTGTCGTTTTATGATTCAACACTGTTTACCCAGAAGCACATGGAAAGGACCGGCGCAGGCCATGCTGGCTCCCACGCCACATCCAAGCGACTACACAAGCAAGGTCCACGTTGAGGCTGCTCGGCCCCCGCGGCTGACCCCACGCCCTCGTGAGCGGCTACCGCGTGCCCGCCACCATGTGGCACGCTCTGCATACGACAGCGCTTCCGATCTTGAAGCAGCCCCGTGTGGCAACTGCGACCTTAGTTTACAAAGGAGGGAAATTGGGCCCCAGAGGCCACCTGCTGGGACGGGGCAGAGCAGGGACTCGAACCCACACACTTCACCCCAGAGCTCGTCTTTGTCACTCCAAGGCTGCCCTGTGTGCCCACCTGCTTTGAGAGTCAAACACATCACAGCGACTGAGATCAGAATGCCTGGGTGGGGCAAACCCTCCTGGATAGCAGTTCAGGAGCTTATGACAGGAGGCCACTGGATGGAGTCACCCCGCACGGCCCCGGAGGGCAGAACCACCC